ATTTGGAACACCCTACTATATAGTAGTGTCCTGTATAGTTTTACATGTGATAGATTATTCATGACAGAGAGAGAGAATGAGATTCTAATGCCCCAGGGTTTGAAGTTAACAGTGTGATGGCAATAGACTCCTGATTTACATTTGAGGCTATCAATACCCCACTAATAGTCTATCAAAAGTGAAGATTATGAGATCTTCATCTCCCATTGTTTTCAGAATGACAAGTATCAGTTGGTCTTGTTTCAAACTATGTAATGAAATACATGTTTATCAGTGCTTTTATTTAATCTACAATACCTGAGAAAGTTTAGATTATTGTTGTATACTTTATTAGCTACTATGCTAGTACATGTAACTACAAATTCTTATTAACTAGAGCAGAAAGTACAATTCATTCTCCTATATATTTTGTCGTAACATATTTCACCCAATAAGTAAATTTTCAAACAAAATGCATATTGTTTGCAATTTATTTTTTATCTCTTACACAGAATTAACAACTAAAAATATATTTGTGTAATTTTCACTTCAATCCTTATTTAATAGATTTTGGTGTCACAGACATTATGATGTCAGTCACATATGTTTCTGTGAGTAATGACTTAAAACAAATAGACTATGACTTAAAACAAATAGACTATGACTTAAAAATTAAATCACACCAAGATAACACCTCAGTTAAATGTTTTTTTAACAATATTAAATTTGTTCTTTATTCTCCTTTACTAAATTTCTCCTTATAAATTCAGAGGCACGCTACAGAGAGTATATAAGTCAGAGGTAAATTATATAACTTCAAATAATAATTAGAATATCCTGGAACATGTTTATATGACCAACTTTTAGGAAGTAAAACATAAGTAGCCAAATTCATGATGGTGATTACTTAGATTTTTCAAAGAATATAATTATTCAGATTGAAAACCATAAGTATGCTATTTAAAAAATATCCTCATAAGGAATAATTTCCATTGCTGTCAAACCCCCTCAATATTTGATGATGTAATTTTACCCCCTTCTTTCAAAAGACATTTTCTTTTATTATGTATTCTAAGACACTTTAACTAAAAACTCAAATCTGAATATTTCAATAAGGTTATTTTATTATTCAGCAGATTCATGGAAATTTTACTAGGATGACAGAGAAAATTCCACACCATTCTGTTTCCACTAATACAGGTACAAGGCTGCAGCTGGCAATATTACTAGGATTAGCATAGTATGATGAAATATTTAAAGGAAAATTTTTTCTAAAACCTAATAAATCAAATGACTGCCAAATGTCATTAAAGTGATGGTCTTTGACTTGAATATGCTTTTCATATTCAAATTTGAAAAGAAAGAGATGAAAGCCTGGAAAGGTTACTCGGTTTCAACTAATAACCTCAAACCCTCTCTGTTCACGTGCATAAAAAATGAAGTTGGCTCTATTGTCTAAAGTGCAACACAGAGATGACAAGTAGTGATTCTACAGCATCTTACTACACTGATGGACACTGACTGTAATGGGGTCTGTGCGGGGGACTTGGTGATTGGGGGAGTCTAGTAAACATAATGTTCCTCATGTAATTGTAGATTAGTGATACCAAAAAGAAAAAAAATCAGTGTGATGACATTGATCTGAAAGGTAGAAAAAAGTAGGCCACTGAACTGTTTAAATCATGATTAAGAAAGTAGTACTTTTTTGTCCTTGAATTACATTTTTCGATTAAATTCAAGTGTGGACCTAGATAGCATTTTTGATGTAAGATAGTATGATGTAGGAGGAGCATCTAGAAACATTGTTTTCCTTAGTTTCTTTTTCTCTTTAGTATTTCTTCGTATCTTAATCCTTATGCTCCAGGTTTGACTTTTCTTAATATATTCTGACAAAACTTCCATGATTTCATGTGAACATTAGAGAATAATACTTTCTCCGTGTTCCTTCAGCTTCCTTTATAGACAAAGACAAAAATAAAAGTCCTTATTATAAATGAACCATACATACCATTGCTATAGTTATAGTAGACCCACTGCCCACTCTTGGGTTTGGGAAGTGACACAGGTGTCTCTTCAGCAGGGAGACTATAGAATCGGCATTCAACGAATAGCCGCTGGATAGTGTCATCTGCAGTTACTGGAGAATCATTAAGGCTTAGAGCTATGATTTCAATCTGAATTTTTTCTGATAGCTGTTTAAAGAGAAAAAACAAAAAAACAACTAAGAAACAAATAAAACAAATGAACCAAAAATCCTATACATTTTTTCACTATCAATTTTAAGTGAGACATGAAAGCCAATGGGTTTCTCTTTCAAAACATATTTGGAACACCCTACTATATAGTAGTGTCCTGTATAGTTTTACATGTGATAGATTATTCATGACAGAGAGAGAGAATGAGATTCTAATGCCTCAGGGTTTGAAGTTAACAGTGTGATGGCAATAGACTCCTGATTTACATTTGAGGCTATCAATACCCCACTAATAGTCTATCAAAAGTGAAGATTATGAGATCTTCATCTCCCATTGCTTTCAGAATGACAAGTATCAGTTGGTCTTGTTTCAAACTATGTAATGAAATACATGTTTATCAGTGCTTTTATTTAATCTTCAATACCTGAGAAAGTTTAGATTATTGTTGTATACTTTATTAGCTACTATGCTAGTACATGTAACTACAAATTCTTATTAACTAGAGCAGAAAGTACAGTTCATTCTCCTATATATTTTGTCGTAACATATTTCACCCAATAAGTAAATTTTCAAACAAAATGCATATTGTTTGCAATTTATTTTTTATCTCTTACACAGAATTAACAACTAAAAATATATTTGTGTAATTTTCACTTCAATCCTTATTTAATAGATTTTGGTGTCACAGACATTATGATGTCAGTCACATATGTTTCTGTGAGTAATGACTTAAAACAAATAGACTATGACTTAAAACAAATAGACTATGACTTAAAAATTAAATCACACCAAGATAACACCTCAGTTAAATGTTTTTTTAACAATATTAAATTTGTTCTTTATTCTCCTTTACTAAATTTCTCCTTATAAATTCAGAGGCACGCTACAGAGAGTATATAAGTCAGAGGTAAATTATATAACTTCAAATAATAATTAGAATATCCTGGAACATGTTTATATGACCAACTTTTAGGAAGTAAAACATAAGTAGCCAAATTCATGATGGTGATTACTTAGATTTTTCAAAGAATATAATTATTCAGATTGAAAACCATAAGTATGCTATTTAAAAAATATCCTCATAAGGAATAATTTCCATTGCTGTCAAACCCCCTCAATATTTGATGATGTAATTTTACCCCCTTCTTTCAAAAGACATTTTCTTTTATTATGTATTCTAAGACACTTTAACTAAAAACTCAAATCTGAATATTTCAATAAGGTTATTTTATTATTCAGCAGATTCATGGAAATTTTACTAGGATGACAGAGAAAATTCCACACCATTCTGTTTCCACTAATACAGGTACAAGGCTGCAGCTGGCAATATTACTAGGATTAGCATAGTATGATGAAATATTTAAAGGAAAATTTTTTCTAAAACCTAATAAATCAAATGACTGCCAAATGTCATTAAAGTGATGGTCTTTGACTTGAATATGCTTTTCATATTCAAATTTGAAAAGAAAGAGATGAAAGCCTGGAAAGGTTACTCGGTTTCAACTAATAACCTCAAACCCTCTCTGTTCACGTGCATAAAAAATGAAGTTGGCTCTATTGTCTAACCTCACTTCAGAAATGCCCTTTTCTGCTTGCTGAAGATGAACATGGTAAAAAAAAAATTTTAAATGATTATTATTTTTTCCTTAAAATGTATTATGGTTGTCAAAATACTGTAACACACACACACACACACACATTTTTATAGTTCTGGCTTAAATATAGCACAATGTATAATTAAGTTTTTACATAATCTGTAATTTGACAAACTTAGAATTGTAACAATAACATCTTATAAAACATTTCTGCTTTTACAAAGAAGAATTAAAGGAAAATAGCTATAAAAGAGCAAAAGAGGCATAGTTATTTCTACATTGTGAAGAGAGGAATTTAAAATTGTTTATAACAGAACCCAATGAAGAGACAAATGAACTTTTAAACAGCAGGGGAATCAAATATATATAAGTGGTTATTTTATTAAAATATATGAATTGTACAATCCCCATATGAAAACTTGCATTACTGTAAAAATAAATCTAGGCTGTCACATAAAACACAAAAATAAAATTCTAAATGAAAGTAGATACTTGGCTCAGGGACAAACAAAAAAGCCCACCAAAACCAAACAAACCAAAAGAAAATCTACCATGTTATCTAAAGAAACCAAAGAACTTTAAAGTGCCTTTTATGATATCTATCTTCCTTTTGGTCCACTTTTGTCTTTGTTATTTCCCCCACAGAGTCATTACCTCTATCATATGTCCTTTTTAATTCACCAGCTGATATTACTGACAGAAGTTATTAGCTATCAATTTTTTGGTTTCTTTTTACTACATGAATCAAAATAAATCCCATAAGGGATACGTTTCAAATAGTCTATATCTAGGGAAGCATGCTCTGAACAAAGAATTGTCCAAACATTATACATTTGGGCTAATGGGTCTAACGAAGTTATTCTTCAACACTGAAACAATTCTGGTTGTGTCCATGCTTCTATGAATCAAAAGTTCAACTGAATTATACATGAAGATTTTGAAGATTAGGAAGCACATCAAGTACATAAGAGACAACACCAACTTCATGTTGGAAATGAACTCATTAGTTCCCCTCTCCTTTCCACCAATCTCAATTCATCCCCTCAGATCTCCTATCTCAGGTGAGGATATCACCATCTACCTGGTCACCAATCAAGAGACCTTGGAGGCATTCCTGCCACCTCCATTTCCCACACCCACAGTATCCTATAGATCACCAGTTCCTATTCATTTTCCTTCTTCAATATCTCAATGATTCATTGAATTATTGAAGGCTTATGATATTTCAACGTTGTGTCAGCTATTGGGTATATAAAGACAAAACAATATGTGGTTTCTTTTCTCATCTCTAGAGAAACTTCTTTAGGTTTTCATCTGATCTGAGGGAGGAACTAATTCAATAGCTGCCTGTATTAAAAAGTAGTTCGACAGAATGAGGGAGAAATTAGAAGGAATCATAAGAGATAACTGGCTGACAGAGCTGTAGACAGATGGATGGTAGAGACTATAAACAAAGTGATATGAGGACTATTATTGCTTCTTGTATCTTTGGTGTGATGTGCAGTACACACTCAAAAAATTAGGGGATCTACTCTTGTGGCTGTAAGAGAGGTGAGGCACTCATGCCCCAATCCCTTGCCTGTAGCCTCAATTATTCTCTGTGGGGCAGAATTCTCTTGCTTAAAAAAATCAGGTATCACCTCTCTATTTGAAAACCTATTGCCCTATACTCTAGCCATTTCCTCAGATCTATGCTATGCTGTTTATATGGCTCAAAGTTTGTATCTGAAATCTCTCTTAGACAAAGTTCACTTGTTTGAGGCCCTGATATAGGGTTGACATCCAAAATATACAGAGAGCTCATGCACCTCAACAAACAAAAAGCAAATAATCCAATTAAAAAATGGACTGAGGATCTGGACAGACACTTCTCCAAAGAAGAAATTCAGATGGCCAGCAGGCACATGAAAAGATGCTCCATATCGCTAATCATCAGAGAAATGCAAATTAAAACCACAATGAGATATCACCTCACACCAGTAAGGATGGCCACCATCCAAAAGACAAACAACAACAAATGTTGGCGAG